CCTTTCCGGGGGTTAGACAATCAAATCTAATTGCTCCTCCTAGGTAGTAATTGTTTTGAATTGGGTTTTTCTAGATTACAATGCGGTTAGGCAATATTCTTATGGGCGCACCTAGGTTTATTTGTTTAATTAGGGGTAGTTAACGGCCGTACCTTAATCACCTACATTGTAAGGAAAAATTGGTTGTCAGAGTTTATTGATAACTATAACCAATTTATTGATACTTTAATAAGAATTAACTTTATTGAATTAATGATAAAACACAAGTGGCATAATTGCATCATCCGTTGAGCCAGACATCCCATTGATAGTCAGTTCCCTTTAATTTAATTGCTTTGTTATTTTATTTTCATTAGATAATAAAAGAAAAATCCTCATTTATTTACTGCATTAGAATACGAAAGAGTGAATCACATAATCCCTGTGGAGACGATCCCTTCCCCTATATTACATTAAATTGTGATCACGGAGTAGGTGAAATATTTGATTGATCGCGCGACAGGTCAAGAGTTTTTTAGGTGAGCAAGAGTTGAGAGTATTTCGATCCAATTTTAAGAGGAAGTGAGATGTGTGAAATACTTTTAGTTCATCATGTTCACGCACACATGAAGACAAGCATTATCCCTTTGTTTCTCTTAGTTGAAATTTGCCTTCAATCTTTGCGGGAGATAACTCATATTCTTTTGAAGATGTTTTGAGGAATTCAAATACAAGTTTGTATTTGAATGAGAAAATCTTAGAATGATCTTATATTATTTTGGTTGGTGTTTGTTCTTGGTTAGTTGTTACTAAAATATATGGAATAGATTAATCAACATTCAAAGACAGTCAAGTGATCTTATCGTTTAATTTGTCATACTACTATGAACTTTGAAGATCTTTGAATAGATTTTCTATGTTTTTGAAAGAGGAGAAGAAGATGGTCTTCATCTACATCAATGTCCAAAATCATAGAACAAACCATAGAGGTTGAGGCCTTGCATTCTTGTCTTTGTAAATGGGATAGAACTTGTATTTGGTAAGGAGTATCATTACATTTTAGTTGATTGTGTGGACTGTGGTATTTGAAGTTTGTATGAGGTTTTTGTTTCTAGATCTTCTATATATCATAGTGGAAAGACTTTGATTGGCATCCCTAGACGTTGGTTCGCATTGGTGGCCAATTTGGATAAATAAATCGCGTGTTAACATTGCCTTACAATTTTTGAGCATTTCATATTGCTACAAACTTGTCATTAATTCAAACAACTCACAAATAACATGTCCGAACATAAACAATTTCACGTGTTTTTTGTGTTTCTAATTTCCCGTTATATACATGTTGTTTTGCAATTGATTATTAGTGAACACAAGAACAACCTATATGTTGCTATATAAAATTTTATTGTGTTTTTTATATCCCGCTCTGTATTGTTCTTTGCAATTGGTTATCTAGTGAACATAAGAACAACCTATTGGGTGCTCTATATAATTTATTGTATTTTTTATTTCCTACTATGTACATGTTGTTTGCGATTGATTATCTAGTGAACACAAAAACAATCTATTTGATGCTCCATCTAATTAATTGTGTTTCTGATATTCTGCTCTATATATGCTTTTTGCGATTGGTTATCTAGCTAGTGAACACAAGAACAACCTATCTTCTGCTCCATATAAGTTTGATGCATTAGTTATGTGATCTTATACTGATGATTGTCCCTTGACATACAACAAGGATTCGAGACAACAAGTAATATTTAAAGATTATGTAAATATATTCATCAATTATGGTAGAACCTTTATAATTCGAGTGACATATATATTCTTGTTAGTGATTTTAGTGTAATTGAATTTATTCGAGATTGATGGATGCTGGGATTAGTGAACTTCAGGATGGGATCCATGGAGTTTGCGCTTGAAGAAAATAGTTTCGATATGATTTTGACAAATAATATAAATTTTGAGTCAAAGTGATAAATGAGACCTTAGTCATGGGTATGACTAAGTTTATTAGAATTTTAATTTCAAAAGTTGTGTTTATCTATAAATTTGTGTATATAATAATATTATTATATGAATTCAAATTTATGTTTGAATTGAATCAACAAATCAAGTCATTTTTAATTAAAAGTAATATTTCGTATCCATTCATTTTGAAATTGAAACTTAAATTGAATTGTTGTGTATGTTCAATTTAATTAAATAAAATGTTACTTGTGGTCTATAAATAAATGGTGAAAGAATACGCATATCTATTCTCGACGTTCATCTTATCTCAATATTCTCTATCAAAATTTGAGATCGAACTTTGTATTATACCAATACGAATTTTGTATAACCTTTGGTAAAAATTGAATCAAAATACCGTATTTTGACCTTATGATAATGCAACATTATATCCTGACATTTTTATTGCTAACCTAACACCATCCCAACAATTTTATCCACCAAATTTAGAATATTAAGTTGGGGTTTATCCAGTGCGTACTTTCGGATAGTGGCTGCGGGTTCCCACGTCATAAAAATAAATAAAATAAAATTAGGATATCAAGTATATCTAATAATATTAAAAGTTGATTGGTTATACCTTGTATATTATGGCAAGTTAAACGGTATATGGAATGAATAAATTCGGGAAGGACGAGAAATCAATGATCGATCTCAACCTCCATGTTACTCAAGAAAAAGTTGTTGCTTAATTAATTTTCTTACAATAAAATTGGATGATACACATTAATTAATTAATTAATTAAATTAATTATTTAACAATTAATCTGTAAATGCATGTAAAAATATGTTACGGTGTTGTGGAGCATTATATTGAGCATTCTGAAATAAAGATAATTTTAATTTAATCTAATTTGGTAATTGATAGTCTTTTTTTTTTTTTTAATGTTAAAACATATTTAGAAGAAATATATATTATATTTATAATAGTTATTTTATTTAAGAGATTTGTAGGATTCTTGCATTATTTAGATGATTTGTGCATTATTATAAATATGTACGAATTCTTATTATTGAAATAGAGAATTTCAATTTCATATTCTAGCATGATATCATAGCCAAATTCTCTCAGAGTACCTCTATGACCCGTATATATATATATATTTTTTATTAATGTATTTGCTTCTATCCACGATCATACTGTTATTTTCATGTCGTTTCCGTCTCTACTACTCTACTGACATAGTCTACTTTAGACTCTAACGTCGTTGAAAGTCCTGTTTTCGACTCTAACTCTATTGAAAGCGAGCGAGTCTTGTTTCCAACTCTAACTCTGTCTGTTGTGAGCGAGCAAGTCCTTTTTCCAACTCTAACTCTGTTGTGAGGGGAGCAAGTCCTGTTTTCGACTCTAGTTCCGTTGTGAGCGAAAGTCCTGTTTCCAACTCTAACGGTGTTGAGAGTTCTGCTTCTGACTCTGATCTAGTGGACGACTACATTACTCTCAATCAATCTTGGCGAATTCAAATTCATACGTGAAAGATCTCGACCATATCTTTTACGGTCACTTCTAACAAACTCAAGTTTGTTCTATCATATCTTGAATTTGAGGAGGGGTGTTATTTAGAAGTAATATATTATATTTATGGTAATTATCTTATTTAAGAAATTTGTAGATTCTTGTATTATTTAGATGATTTGTGCGTCATTATAAATATGTACAAATTCTTATGATTGAAATAGAAAATTTCAATTTCATATTATAACATTTAATAACTTGGGAATTTGCAGCCACTAATCGACGAGTGCGCTCTGAGTAACTCTGGTTACCCACGCTCTTGATAATGAAGCGGGAGCAAGTTTCATGTAATTTAGGGTTGGTTTTAATTTGCTTTAATTTCATAAATTTATGTTTAATATTTCACCGGTTTCTTCACATTATTGTTGTCCTAAATGAAGGGTGCTGAACTTTTTGATAAATACTTTGATGAAAGTTAGCCGGCTATGCATGCGATGCCGAACCTTACTCGGACATGAACCCCATGCACCCCATGCATTTTGTTCTTTGACCAGAGTCACATATAATCATAAAAAATCTCATTCTTTGGACAATTTTGTCTTCAATTGTTCATGTCTTAGTTTCTATATAGTTTTTGAGAGTAGGCAAAACCTGAACACATCAATGGGCTATTTCCTAATCTTGCTTGTGTGTTTGTTCGGGGGGTTTTGGATTTTGAGTTGCGATTTGAATAGTGAAAATTTTGAATTTAAATAGTTGTATGATGTGATATAAATAGGTGTTGATGTGATATTTTGAATGTAAAATTGATTTTTAATATAATATAAAAAATGAAAAATAGGTATTTGATTTGATGTTTTTGAGGAAAAAAAATAGGATGAACAGTGGAAATAAAATCCAATCTCCCAAACAAACTCTGGATTTCAAATTACTATTGGTGACTTACTGTTAGTCCTTGACTTGATGGGAGCTAGCAAGATTTGAACTACTTAGATGAGTTTATCCCGACTTTAATACATCACATTCTGTGTTTTGTTTTGATATTTGAATTTTGAGTTAGAATTTTAAATAGTAAAATTTTAAGTTACAAGTAATATAAATAAATATTGATGTAATATTATAAATATAAAATTAATATTTAATATAATATAAAAATTAAAAAAAAAAAATTAATGTTAACTTTTTAAGAATAGTAAAAAACTTTCAAAGTGTCTTAAAACAAAACAAATAGACATTATTCAACTTTCTTGGTAAAAATATATTATTTTATCCCACAAAATATTATATTAAAAATATTACTATTTAAATAGAAGCCCAAATAACAAATTAAATTTCAAATCAAAATTAAACCAAATTAACAAACCTCAATTCACTCTATATACATCTACAGACAATCCAGCCAAGTGGCCACTTAATTGGGTTTGATGTTTGTGTCATCATCATCATCATCATCGTCGTCATATATTTATAATACAACCAAATATGTTAACAGTGAAGAGGACCAAGCCACTGTCCCTCTAAAAGAGAAGCACTCACCATTCATTCAAGCACAAAATACAAAATATAACTTCAAGCATTAATTAAGGTGTATATATATTACAAGAACTCACCTTACTTATACACAACTCCCTTCCACCTTGAAGATCTTCTAATCTGAATGAATGAGTTTGATCCCTGGAGCTTCCTTCAGACTCCATCAAGCCGCAGATATAGAAAACCAACTGCAGTACAGTTTCAAGAGCTATCTACAAGAGTCGCGGCAACGTTGTATGTATGTGTGTAAGAGTTTTTACACGTGGACAAATTGCTATAAAACATATATTTTGTGTCGTACGATTATGTCTAACCTTCACTCCTTTTCTTCGTCAATCAGAAATTAAGTTGACCAATATCAAGTATTCATTGGCCAGAATCTCTCAGGAAGATATCTATCTTATTGATCCTTCACTGATTGATGCAACCTTGCATACACCTGCTGCTGTTGTTAATGGCGAATCGCGGTACCGTGCCACCAAATCTTTATCTGTATGGAGATCCACTTGGACAGTTTCCCAAACCTTCCTCTTAGGATTTAGGAGATCATCTGGCAAACCTTCATACCCTGGGAATGTAACTCTCTCACCAACAAGGGCGCCTTGGGGAGGTTCGACCAACTCAACCTAGCAAAGAGAGTATCCGTTGAAGTAATTAATTTTTTTTTGAGTCCCCCTCAATCATCTTGTGGACTGCAGAGCAATGGTTTCACTAATTCTATAATTAAAAGTATTCAAATAATTGGCACAGCTTAAAGCACCTTCAACTTCAAGTATTGTGGAAATGTTAATATATAAAAAGATATGCAGCAAAACATTTACCTTTGTCTGATCGTAATTAGAAGCTGCAAGAACCATTGCTTGAGACTTTATACCCCTCATTGTTGCTGGTTTCAGGTTACAAAGAACACATACCTTGCGATTCTGATACAGGGAACAATATTGTGGAGGAGTTAAGACGGAAAGTCACAAGAAGGCAATTTGTAATGCAAACTCCTGAATACATGAATTAAGTAGTGCCAAAAGGGAAGGGGATTGACCTGCATCTCTTCTATGGGTATATATTTGACTAGGCCACTCACAACAGTGCGAGGCAATGGTTCACCAACCTCTATCTCCTCCACATATAAAGAATCGGCGTCAGGATGTTTTTCGGCCTTCGTTATGAGACCAACTCGAATGTTTAGTCTACTAATGGAAATTTCGGTATTAGAAGGAGCTGAAGCTTTGGGTTTTGTATCAGAAGACTTTCTTGGTCGATCCTTATTCGCAGTGTTCCCATCTGCAGAAGATACAATATAGGGTCAAAATGAACAACAAAGTTCTCATTAATTGTAACGTGTGATTTTCCCCATTTTCAAAAATCAATACGAAAAATGATTTATGAGACCTGAATCTGATGGTTCATGTGCTTCATAGAATATCAAGAAATATAGAAACACAATAGAAAGAAGATAAATAGATAAGAACAATCAACCAATATCACCTGTTTGCCCAAAGAACAATCAAACGGAATTAATAGTTTGCCCAAAAGCCTCTAAGCTACTATATTTCCAAGATAAAGTATGACTTACAACTCTAGCTACTCTTGATTAAATACTAGTACTAAACCCTACTTACTATAAGTCTATAATTAAAATAAACTCATTCTGTAAGTAAGGGACAAGCCCAATCAAAGATATAGCTTAAGATGTTACAAAAGGTCACTCAAACTAACACATGTCAAAAATAAACTAATAAAGCACACTAATGAAAGTCAAAACCCGCAAATGGAAGGCATAAACCCATCCCCGTCGTTGATATACAAACAATGGCCGAGATTCCTCTTCCTCTTTAATCTTAACCTCATGCTCTACTTGATTCTGCTCTCTATCAAACCAGTAGACTTTGGGTAGCTTACCATGTTATGAAATACAACCCCAATGTCACACAATAATATTAGGTCTGTAAATTCATTGATATTCAATTTGTCTTCCATACAAAAGAGAGATGTGCCTTTGCCAATTGGTGTAACATATGACACAGAAATACAACAGATTTCGCTTTGCCTTTTTCTGTTAATGAAACAGGAGTATATATATTTTCCCGAGTTAATTATTTTTAAACTAAACACAACATAAAAGATGTCAATATTCCTAACCAGAGGTTTTCTAAGTAGATTGTGCAGGCAAATTTAATTTTCACATTTAGTATAATTATATCCACATTAATTTTGCTTAAGTTTTAGGCCAATCCGATGCTTGTAATTACACCTCTATAAATAAAGACTATAGAGTGGTAATTAATTCCACTGAATATATATATACAAATTTCTAATTTTCAAAGAAGAACTTAGCATAGAATGATAAGACAATAAGGATATATTTTTGGATTAATGATCTCAGACACATTATTCTTCGGGTGAATATATTTCCCACTAGAGGTCTCAACCACAGGATACACAATAAGATGCTAAGAACATATATGTTAGCATATAAACGTAAAATAGTCGATAGACCAAAATATATACAATTAGTAATAGTTTGTTAGAGATACATACCCACTACCTGCTGAATCAAGCTAAAAGGAAGGTAAATAATCGTAAATAATAATAATAATAATAATAATAATGAGACTTGAGGGCCTTGAAAAACTGAGTTGCTTGTTTTTTTTTCCCACGTCATTGTGCCCAGTGGCGATTGAACCCCAACACCCTAGGATGTGAAAGGAGTAGCTCAACCACTTAAGCTACAATCCCTTCACAAAAATGGGTGAATCGTAAATGTTTTAAATAGTATTTTGATGTAATATTTTGTGAAAAGAAAGTGTATTTTCATTGGAAATCATGTAAGATGATTAGTAAAATATGGCTTTGAAATCAAAACTAGAAGTTTGAGAACATACATAAACAGGGGAATACCTGATACTTTGGTTTTCTTGAGTTGTTCAGCTAAATGTTTTGATTGAGATTCAGCTTCGGCCTTCACAAGTCTATCTGCTTGACTTCCAGCATATTTCACTCTATAGAACTCCACTTCCTCGTCTTTCTACATATTATACAGTACAAAATTACAAATATACAAGCAGTTGAGCATTTTATCCCATAATAGCAATTAACAAACGTTAAATGTAAGCGCAATAATAAGAAAAAATAATGATTAATACCATTTCTCTGAACAAAGGTGCAGGTATTCCAATTTTATGACTAGGAGGTAGAATCTCCCAAGGTCTTTTAGCCCTTTCAACATCACCTTTCTCATTGGAAAGAGAAATTTGTCCGTCAAGTGGCAAATTGAGCTGCTTAAGTACCTACATATCATTGTGAAAGCATTGCATCAGATGTGGACAATCTTTTAGCAAACATAATCCTAATAAAAGAATTACCTCAAGGGAGAAAGATGGCATAAAAGGTTCTAAGAGGCATGCAAGAAGATAAACTAATCCAGCAGAAGTCCTCATGACCACTGAACAAGTTGGCTGATCCTCTTTGTAAAGCTTCCAAAATTGGCTTTCCTACATTGAGAGTATGTAGATATCATCTCATGTTGAGAATTGAAGTATGATACTCCCTCCGTCCACCATATTTATGTATGTTTCCTTTTTTTGTTTGTCCACAAAAAATATGCACTTTCTAATTATAGCAAATAACTCTTACACACTTCTTAATTTATACCCTTCAACATTACATGTATACAAAAATGCCACAACTACTTACACACTCAATATATCAAAAATCTTCTCTCACTACATCAATTCATTCATATACTTCCTAAAATACCCATATTTATGTCACAATCAATCAATATAAAATTATATAAATTAAAATTCGTGTTCCACTCAAATGAGCATATATTTGGTAGACGGAGAGAGTACTAAATAAAATTATTGAGTAAAGTTCAAAAATAATTTGGAATAAGGTATAAAGAGAAATTAAAAATGTTTAGTGGTAGCAGCCATACTTGCAAATATGCATTTCCTTCACCAGATACAGACATAGCAAGCTTCAAACCTAGCTTTAGCTTCACCTACACCAGTTGTCAATGCAAATGTTATTTGTTGTAACACAAGAGAAATTTCAAGAATAAATTGTGTTTCTAAAAAGAATGATCATTATTCCTAGTAGCACCTTTTCCATTGCTTCTATATACTGCTCCACATAATTGCCAACTTTCTCTCCAAAAGCTTTTGTTAATAGATGAGATTCTGCACCCTGAACATCAGGAATCACTGAACCATATCCTGAACCTGGATTATATTAAACAAAAGTTAATAGGGGTTCTCTTAAAAGAAAAGTTCATTGAGAATGACCATCTTCAAAAACTGAAAGGTAACCATATTCAAGAACATAAACAAGAGGCTGAAAGTTACAAAAACTGCATATCATGATGTCAAAGATAGGACATACTTTTGGAAAACAATTATGTTAGATATATTATGTATAGGGGTAATTTTGTACTTACAGTAGTAGAAGGGTCTTTTAGGTATTTTGGATAGTTGTATATTATGGGTGTGTTTATTTGGGGGTTTGAATTTTGAGTTGAGATTTGAATAGTAAAAAATTTGAATTGTAATAGTTGTATGATGTGATATAAATAAATATTGATGTGATGTTTTGAATGTAAAATTAATTTTTAATATAATATAAAAAATAAAAAATAGGTATTTGATTTGATGTTTTTGGAGAAATCTTTTTGATAAATAGTAGAACTTTTAGAAAAGTTGACAAATGAACACACCTTATATAGGTTTTTGTTGTAACATTTAGTTTTTCACGTGAATGTATTAGCGAACTTCTACATAGTATCAGAGCCATCGTTTGCTATCGGTTTGGCTTTCTGGTGAGGGGTTGTCTCTTCTGTTCGGTGCTCTTCCTCCTAAGTTAGGTTGTTGTTGGGTCGTAATTTAGGAATTAAGTTTTTATGTGACTCAGGATTTATAGAGCTCTTTTCAATTCAAATATTACCCCCAAATATGTCTGTTTCTACTTTATTTACAAGTGTTCTTTCCCCAACCCCGGCTATTGCTACCAAACGACTAGTCAGGGGCTCTACTTATGGCTTTGGTCTAAAGTTTTCTAAATGTGGTGTATGGATCAAGGTTCGCAAATCACCTTGTTATTCCATCTGATCAAGTTGTTGACACAGAGAAAGTTGCATGGCTTAAGGTTGATGCCTTGTGCAGTTTGCTTTGGCGATCTATAGATCCAAGCTCCAACTTTTGAAAATGTTACAAACTGCTATGACCTCTGGACACATGCGAAGACTTCATATAACAATGATATTCAACACTTATACGGTATAGTGTCCAATTAGTCAATCTTCGTCAACATGGATTGCAAATTCCAGAGTATCTTGGTAAACTTTCATCCATAAAAGCTGAACTCATTTCGGTTTTGCCTCCTAGGAAAATAGCTACAAAGGAGCTTGCTCAGTGCAATACATTATTTATGGTGTTAGCATTGGTTGGTTTTGGTCCAGATTTGAGTCCGGTTTGTGATCAGCTTTTTTCCAGTTCGACAATTCCGAATCTTGATGATGTTTATTCTCGCTTATAACATGTCTCCTCTGTGGCCCATCCAATTATTGATTCCGGAGAAGTCTGCTCTACTAGCTTCACCTTCTTCACCTATGCTAGGTGATCCTAGTTCTCGTGGGGGCTCTCGAAACCAGACTACCTCTCTTCCATGCTCCACTTATTGCAACAAGTGGGACCATACCCGTGATAAATATTTTAAATTGCATGACGACCACCTCGAACTATTGTTGCGCAGGCTGAAACTCCTAATTCATCGTGCAATTTTATCACTTCGATTTGTTCAGACTATGAAGAGTATCTTGTATACCAAGCTTCAAATCAAGTCATCTTCTTCACCCTTTGCCTCTATCGCTCACATTGGTATATCTCTTATAGATCATGGGTCATTGATTCTGATGCCTCTCATCACCTATTTGGCGATCCAAAATTGTTTTTTGAATTTCATAAGTCTACCTCGTTATCTGATGTTACTTTAGTTGATGGGTCAAGAGTTTTTGTTAATGTTGTCGGTGATGTTCAACCATTGCCATGTGTTCGCTTATCCTCCGTTCTTTTTGTTCTTTTTTGTCCGATTAAACTTGTTTTTGTTTGTCAATTAACCAAAACTTTGAACTGCTCAATAACATTTGATTCTGATTCTTTTTCTACTCAAGACCACAAAATGGGGAGGACAAGTGGCAAAGGACTTGAGTTTTATGGGTTGTATCACCTTGACCATTCTCCACCACCTTCAATCCCAATTGCATGTTCCACCGCTAGTTCTCCTCAACTACTATACCAATAGTTGGGTCATCCGAGTCTCTCTAGGTTGCGTCAGCTTGTTCCAAGCCTTTCTAGTTTATCTTCATTGTCTTATAAGTCTTGTCAGCTGGGAAAACAAACCCGTGATTTTGTTTTCCCGGAAGGCTAAGAATCAGGTTAATATGCCTTTTGTTTTAGTTCACTCTAATATATGGAGTCCAAGGTCCGTGTCGAACTCCTTTTGCATTTAGTTTTCACTACTTTGTTACTTTTATTAATGATTTCTCAAGATGTACTTGGCTTTATCTAATGAAAGCTCATTCCAAACTATTTTTTGTCTTTGAAACATTTTATGTTAAAATTCAAAATCAGTATGGTGTGTCTCTTCAAATACTTTCGACTAATAATGCCACTGAACATTTATCTACTCCTATGACTCAATTTATGTCATCTTATGGTATTTTACATCAGTCCTCTTGTGTTTATACTCCTTAGCAAAATGAGCTTGTTAGAACGAAAAAATCGCCAACTAATTGACACTGATTGTACTCTGCTTGTGCATCATCATGTTCATTTTTTATTTTGGGTTGACGTTGTTCTTATTGCCTGCTATCTTAGAAACCGCATGCCGGCTTTGGTCCTCCATAATAAAACTCCTCATGAGATATAGTTCTCTCGAGATCCTTTATATCATTTACCCATTCATGTTTTTGAAGGATATGCTTTGTTCATGATCACTCCTTAGGTCGGATAAGTTAATTCCACGTGCGCTGAAGTGTGTTCCTTTGCTATTCTAAGGTTAAAAAAGGTTATAAATGTTTTTCTCCTGATAGGCGTACGTATGATTTTTCAGCCGATGTTACTTTTTTTAGTCCACACCCTATTTTTATATGTCATCTTCGATCCTGTCTGTCAACCACGTGATACCTATTTCTTTCTTTTTTTCCTTTTCTTTTGTGTCCACCTCTTCATGTTTATAGTCGTTCTCCTCGCTCGATAGTGTCTTTCTTCCGACGGTTCTACCAATTATGTTAAATATGAACCAAATCTAGTAACATACCTAGATAATAATAACTTAATCAAATTAGTATGATTATATGATCACTAACAATTCAAAATAATATTAATTAATATATCTATCTATAATATAAATTCACATCCTGCCTCAAACTCAAGTTGGTGATGTAGAGCCAAGATGATTGTATGTGGACGGACTTCATAGTTGGATATCAACATTCAAATCAATTCTCTGTCGTGACGTTAAACCTTAAGAAATGAGAATTTTGGTCAAATTAAGGTTTCTAGTGGCATCAATCCTCTGTCGCAATGACAGAAACCTTAATAAGTTAAAGTTTTGGCCAAATTAGGATTTTTAATGGCCATAATCCACTATCGCGGTGACGGTAGTAACGATCCTCTATCATTGCAGCGACATCAAAGTAAGGTTTCTAATTACGCCGATCTTCTATTGCAGCGGCACTGGCGATTTTCTATTGTTGCAGCAGTGCTAAACCCTAATAGGCAGAAACTCCAAACAGATACCAAACCAAAACCTTTAATTTACAAAACTAAAAACTTAACAGATAGGTTGAATATATCTCGGTATATTTTCACCCGCAAGATTCTAGCAATTGAACACCAAATGCATTTGCACATGCATCCAAAGTCCGCGCACGAAATTGTTGACTGACAACATTGACCGATACTGGTAACTCATATGCACCGTTTTTTATAATGATATTTGGTGGGCAAGTGTTTTCTAAATAAGAATACGATGATGATGGAAGTGGATCTCATATTTGAAAGAAAGTCCTGTGGGTAAATTACATTATATACCCGGAGAAAACGTGAACTAGTAGACTATGTTTATTAAAGGAAAAATGTAGTCTCTGATACCATGTAAAAATTCTAAGAAAAATTTTTGCTGATGAAATTAAGGTCTATTTATAAACCTTATATAAAAGGATAAAGCTAAAAAATAACAACCAAATCCAGTAACATCTCTAGATAATAACTTAATCTAATAAATATGATTATATGATAACTATAATAACAATTATAATATTTATCTAAAATATATTTCAACACCTTACATTCAAAGGGTTAGGGATGTCGCCACTTATATTTTTCGACATAGGAGACTTATGAGTGCCACGAGTGAAATGACCGATGGCAGAGATCTTGCAAGGCCAGCGGTTACTTGATTTGCTAGCGCATTTCTCACTTTGCAGACTGTTGAAATATATTTATATAGATATTATTTAGATTTGTTAGTTATTATATAATTATATCTATTATATTAGATTTTACTAATTCACGTTTTCTCCGAGTATATCCCCTAATACACCCTGAGGACTTTTTTTCAAATTTGAGATCCACTACCATTGCTATTGTATTCCTAATTTTGGAAACACTTTGCCACCAAATATCATCATCACCATAAACAAATGCATATGAGTTACTAGCAGTCAAAGTTTGGTCAATGTCACCGGTCAATTCTAGTCAACATGGTCAACAATTTCATGGTCAACAATTTCATTACCGCCGAATTTGGATGCATGTGCAAGTGCGTTCGGTATCCAATTGCTAGAATTTTCTAGCGACAACATACTAAGATATTTTCAGTCTATTTGTCAAGCTTTCAGTTTAATTAGGGCTTTTGGTTTGGCATTTAATTACCTGTTCGGAGTTTCTGCCTATTGGAATTCAATTTCTCAGGTTTAGCGCCGCTGCAACAATAGAGAATCTCCGGTTCCACCGCGACAAAGGATTGCCGTTAAGGGTGGAAATAGACCAGGCTAGGCCAGGCTTTCGCTAAATAGGTTTGGTCTGTTTTAAAAATACACAGCGTGAGCTGGCCTATAAGCCTGAAAAAAATATTATTATATTTTTATATATCATTATTAGATATAAAACTATTCTTAATTAATAATAATGAGAAAATATTTATATATTATAAGACCGGCCTT